TTCTTTCCATTTTGGGTCTCTGTGCCTGCCTGCACTTGTTCTATTTGTCGTCTTATCTATCCTTCTGATCTCTCTCTCTCTCTCAGTTTGGAATTCTTTGATATTGCTAGCACTGCCAACAAGCTGATCTCACACGCTCATTCTTTGTGGGGCTTTTGTTGTTGTTCTTTTGTGTGTCTGAATGACCGGCTCGCGGTTGTCCTTCCCAGGGACAGATAGAAACATCCTGGCAGTTTTGTAGTCGGCCCTGTTTAGTGCACTTCTGGCAGGTGATAGCACCTGGGAGCCATCAGGTTGCAGGTGAATAACACAATGACTCCTGGGGCTTAAGCCGCTTCCAGCCACATGAGCTGGCGGCTGTGCTGCTCCTGATACAAGCCGGTCACAGTGGTCAGCCTTGCATTGTTCTGCACAAAAGACAGAAGGAGCAAGGGAGAGCCAGGAGCCAGCAACTCCCATGACCTGTGCCTCCCTCTGAGTCACCTTGAAGCCAAAGACCCCCTCCAGGGGAGTTCTGAAGGGGCAACACCAGAATGGGCCTGGCCCTAGAGACACAAGGGGGTGTCCCCTCCCAGCCGGAATTTTACTGAGAAACATGACGAGGGCCAGTGAGGGGCAGCTGCTCACCTCCCGGCTGTCTGCCTCACCCTCCTGTTCGCCATCCTGCCCCATCCTGGCTTTCATCCGGCCTCCCTCTGCGGAGCTCGCCCCTGCACCCACCCAGCTCCGTCTCCACACCAGCACTGCACTGCCAATTCCACTTCCAGCTGGCTCCTCACCGCTCAGGCTGCCCCCATCAGCCCTCCCACCTGAAGGCCATTGCACCCCAGGCTCTGCGTATCCCAGGTGACGTGCGCTTGCTCGCAGTGCTTCTCTCTTGGCAAGTGGGCTCCTTGTTCAACCTTCCGAGGCTTATTGTTGGAAACCTGTTTGCCTTTGGCTGTCCTGAGATTCCTTTTCCTGCCGCTGTCTCTAAGACCCAGTGTCTCCCAACTCCTCCACAAAGACGTGGCCACACTGGAGTTTCTGCACTCGCCCAGCATGTGTACACACACACACACACACACATACACTTAACCTACCCTGATGGCCCCTGGGGGGAGGCAGTGTCACACCCAGTTCTCTCCAGCTACCAGCCTGATGACTGTCCTCCCAACCTAGAGGAACTCTGGGTCTCACCAGCAGGGCACAGCCCCTCAGTCTTCCCCATCCCCACCCTCGTCCCCCCACATGACACTCTCCCGACAGAACTGGGTGCTCTGTCTCGCAGAGGAAACTGGGATGAGAGAGGAGGCAGTGAAGGCAGAGGAGTGCATCTTGGTTGGGATGCAAGGGGAGCTGGCTGGGCTGAACCTCCCGGGAGTTCGGAAGGTACTCTGTATCAGACACAGCGCCTCAAGTTCTGGACAAAAAAACAAGGGCTCCGTAGCAGGGCAGCCAGTTGGAGCCCTACCTGCTCCTGTGACACTGCTTTGATCCCGACTTCAGGGGCCCATGGAATCGCAGTGGCAGCCATTGGGTCTGGACAGCCGTCCTCTGGAGCGCTGGGAGTAGCCCTTCCTTGCAGTAAGGTCACCTTCCTTCCAAGGTCAACAGGGCAAGGGGAGTGCCATCATGGCCTGTGGTCCCTTCAGAACACGCTCTGGCTCCTCATCCCCAGAGAATCACCTGGAAGACAACTCAGCTGGGTATGCCAGCCAGCCATCTCGCACCCAGGCCCTGAATTCCTAGTCACCCTTACCTCCTAGGCATACTGGGTAAAAAGAATCATTTTTGAACAGGACGTTTGTGTATGGTCAAGAGCCATCTCTCAGCGACATTTTGGTTCTCCAGGGCAACAGTGTAATCTCACAGCTGGGAAACACATGCCAGGGATTCTGAAGCCATCCTCTTGGGAAAACCACCCCACCCCTGCCAGCCTCTGGAACTCCCTGAGTTCATCCCTCAGCACCTGCGGGTGCTCTAGAGTTAGGACCTCGGTGAAAAGTCACAGTGAGTGCACGCCAGGAGCCATGGCTCTGACCCTGAACTTCATTCAGAAAGACCGTTTTCCAGAGATGATCTCTTGTTGGCTGCCTAGTACTTTCCCTGTCGCCAGCGCCAGTTACACCAATCCAAGGAAGTCTGCATAGATACGTTGAAGTGAGGTGGCTGGTTTTGCCTTTTCTATTTGCCCTGTGCCTGTTGTCTAGAACCATAGCCAGGACTCTGACCACGCCTGACCCCCGCCTCGCACATGGAACAGGAGCTTTATTTCAGTGTATGCCAATTGCACGAACAAATTAATTGCCTCAATAGCATGACATCCTCAAAAACTGCCAGCCCCTTAGGGCACACAGCCAAGCGAGTTCTCTGACTTGTTCCCAGTTTTCTCTGAAAGAATTGACTGCTCAGAACTTTACTCCATGCTAGCATCAGGGGGAAGAGCATTTGTAGAGCATCCAGAATGTTCCAATTGGGCAAGCAGCTCTGTTGCCGCCCTTAGAGGTGGGGGTCTCTCATACAGGGAAGACCCCCAGGTTCATGGGGCTTTAGTCTTCAGGGACTCTTACCACTCCTCCTATCCCTGCAAAGTCCAGGGAGGAAGAAACTATCAACTCAAGGCCCCTAGGAGCAACTCTAAGAAAGAGTCTGAGCTTGGTGGCACAAGCACTCCAGGCTACTAATTCTGAATTTCAGTCCAAACGCAGAACAGCTGCTGCGTGGCCTCCCAAGGCCCTGTACTCGGCATTCATGGAGAGTGGCACACAAACACAGTCCCTGGCTGATTGCTCAGCTTGAGGCACCATGGGTCCTCCCAGGGCAGTCCACACCTGCAGCCGCGTCACCCAGTAGAGGTCCCCCAGGTCTGCAGGGCATCAGCAGAGCCGGGGTTCTCACAGGGCAAGGGCTGTGTCTTGGGTTTCTCTCTGTTGTCCCCAGCTAGAAATCCCTCAGTGAATGCTCTCTGGTTTGGCTATGAATGTTTTTTATTTTCAAGACCATAGTCTTGTAAACATATCCCACTAGAAAATGGAAAGTGTGTCTTAAACAGCATGGCTTAAGGCCCAAGGGCAAGTTCATCTGGGCATCTCTGGGTTCCCCCCAAGCGAGGCTCCTCGAGGAGTGGTTGATGCCTGGGCTGGGAACCCACTAGGGATCCCAGAGAGCCCTCCTCCCTCCTCTCCACTGCCCTCCTGGCCTCTTGTCTCCTGTTACAGGGACTTACCAAAGAATCATTAAGTAAATACCTATTACTGGAATAATAAAATGCAACCAAGAGGATTAGAACAGACTGAAAACTAAATATTCACATAATAAATGATTTAAATAGATGAAATCTTAAATGGGAGCCACGAGATATTAAAAAGCAACAAGGGAAAAGTGAAGAGAACTTGTTAAAAATCCCAAATGCAGCGTACTGCAGAAGTAAAGTGAAAGTGTTCCCGTTTTCAGTTGGGCCGGGTGAGCCGAGTGGGTGCTCTGATTGGCCGCAGTCTGTCTGATTCAGGATGGCACGTGCCCAGGAGTCTTAGAAATCAGGGGTGGCTGTGATGGTTTTCAGGGTGGATCTGTGCCTAATACCCTGGCACTGTGTGTAGTACCGACAACCCCGCCTCGGCCGCCACCTGAAGCTTGAGTGACAGAGCTGCTTAGCCACTGACATCAGCCAGAGGGACAGGAAGGAGCCAGAGGAGACCGCAGGGCGACTGTCACCCAACCGCAGAAAAGGGGGTTCAGTGCTTTGACAAGACGCTTCCCGTGTGCGTGTGTGCATGTGTGTCCACGTGTGTCTGTTCCTGTGTTCAGCCTCAGCCCCGAGCCAGATGCGAGCGGCCGCCGCCCTCCAGGCCTGTGCAGCTGGTCTAGCGGGTATTCTGTACATGACAAGAGGAGTGTCCCTTTTCTTCTGTCCCCCACCTCACGCTGTGATCCGCCATTTCCAAAATAGGGCCCCAAACAGCTTTGGGAAACAAAAAGTTTGCTGAGAAGTCTGTGGCCAAAGAAGCATTCAGGCTGCAAGCACAAGTCTAGTTATGCACATTTTCTTCCTTCCGAAATCCATCACGCAGTTCCCTTGGTTGTGACCTAGAGAAACAAGAGCAGCTGTTTGGAGGTAGAGGATGCAAGCAAGCTCCTAACAGCTCAGAGGGTCAAGATGAGTCAGGGGCTGTGCTCCATGTGCTGGGCCCCCAACAATTAGGGCATCTTCCAGATACAGGCTCAAGGGACTGGCTGAGAGTTTACCCTCCTGAGGCCCGTGCCCTTAGCTCCTGCCCCCAAGTGAGGTCAGCACTCAGACCCATGACAACAGCCTCTTGGAGTGTTGATAACCATACCCCAAACTGTGTGCAGGGCGCCCAGGTTTTTAAAAAAAGTCATCACACATTCACTATTTCATGCCAGTAGCCAAGAGTGTGTGTACCTGTCAACTAGGAGCCAAGTGAGACCATCTCCTCTCTAAGCCTAAGCTTTAAGATCCAGACCCTGCTAAGGAGGACATTGGAAGCCACTTCTTTGGGTTCTCTGTGACCAGGAGGCTTCAGTCTGCCCCTGAACCTGAGGGTCGCCACCCTTGAGTTCCTTTGTGTGGCTGTGTGTGCACAGAGGTGGTCCTCAGCATCAGCAGGGTCTTCATCTTTCAGCTGGCAATGCTTGGGGTAAGGTCAAGTGCAGGGAGCATAAACCCTCCAAGGTCATCGTAGAACCTGTGGCTAACTAGGGAGCAACACTTCCAACCACAAACTCTGGAAGACCTTGGAAGCTCGTCTGTAACAGGGGCGAGTGATTTAATTCATCTCCAGAGATGCCCACAGGTAGGAGAAAGCTGGCTGTGAGGCCTGGTGACACAGAGCCCCAGCCGTGGTGACGTCCCTGCCAGGCCCATGCTTCTGTGTCCTGTCACTTGCTCCTCTGGCCCTCTCCTGCCACTGTGTTACTCCTGTGTTAGCGAGACCTAGAGTGCTGGGCGTCTTCATCGGGACTCATTACAGCTTATCTCTGTCTGCCTTTCTTTAAAGCCAGCTGAACATACCCAATGCTCTCCCTCTATGGTAAGACTGACCCTCCAGACCATGCTCCCAGCTTCCGTGGCCCCCGAACACCCCCACTCTTACCCACCCCAGCCTCAGAGACTCTTGGAGCCCAGCCTGGCTCCCCATGCATGTAGCCACCGTGGCTGTCGTGTGCCTTGCCTGCCTGTCTCGTGTGAGCTGTGAAAATGCTGTTCGTGTCTTGGTTGTCTTTGAACCCTCCCAAGCTCCCTTGGGGCGGTGTCTCTGTGACTAGCTAATGAACCACTGGGAGAGAATGGACCTGGGGGCCATTTCCTGTTAAACATCCCAAAGAATCTGCCTCCAGCCTTTATCTGATGTGGGAGATTTGCAGAGGGCACCCGGGAGAGCCTTGGTAGGGAAGGGGAGGGAAAAGAGATCACCTAGCCAGGAGATGGACAGATGATAGCTTAATCAGCATCTGAGACCAGCAGCCTCCCAGGTGCCCTGTGGTGACGGCCACCAGGAAAGTTTCAGTCACCCCAGCCACATTACTGCTTGCATTTTTCTAAATTCCAAGTTCATACCAATTAGGCTGTGCCCAGTGTTGTGCAGCAGGCAGGAAGCACAGAAACACACTCAGTTGATGGGACCACTCCTGATGTCGGAGCCTAGAATGCACTCTGGCTCCAGTGACAGAGGTGCCACTCAGGTGACCTTCAAGTCTCCTTGGAGCAGCCTCCTCCAAAGCAGCTACCATCACACATTTCTCATCAGGCCTTTAGAAGGTCCAGGGGGTCGCTTCCCTAAGCCCCAAAGGTCGAGAGGTGAGATTCGGTGAGTGTGTGGTATGCCCCAGTGCAGCCCTTCCTAGGCAGGCCAAAAGGCTGCAGGGAAAGCTGCCCCCTGGCTTCTGAACCCAGCGCACAGGGGCTGCCCTGGGGACCCGCTTGTCCATCAAATGGCGAGCTGGCCGCGCTCCTTCTGGGGCAGTGTCAGGAGCTGCAGCCGCTGGGGAGCTTGGAGTTACAGAGTGGCGCTCTCACTGCAAGCCAGGCTTTTGTCCATGGTGACTTCTAACTCAGCAGATCCAACGGTCTCAGCGGCGCCCTGGACTCAAACTTGCGACTCCCATGGCTGAAGTTGCCCGCTGAAGCCTGTTCTTTTCCGTCAGATCCTTTCCTGACCCTGGTGGAACTGACACCTGCGTTCCAACAGCCTGAGCCTTCTCCATATGCTCTTGTCGGGGGACACAGGCTCCTTTTAAGGGGAGAAGACAGAATTGCGTGCAGAAATCACCTGCCACAGGTGATAGAAATACGGAGAGAAGGCGCTTTGTTCGGAGACCTCAAAATACACAGGCAGGCTCGGGCCCCGGGACAGAGCAAGGGCCGTTGCCTGCTCCCTCTGTAGTCCCTGTGGCAGACCAGCTGGCTGTCCCCAAACACCTGCAGCTCTCTCTGGCCCTGTCTTGCAGGGGACGGGAGCCCGCTCAGGTTTTGAAATATGAGGGTCTTTACCTAAGCTCATGGGAAGCGTGCATTATGAAAAAAATGGGCATCAATTTCAAAATTGCACCAAAATGAGCTTTCAGTCTCACATTTCTGTGGACGTTTCAAAGCTCCCCATATAGCAAAGGGTTTGACTCCTCTCTTGGAACACCAGGCAAGGGCCCTGGCCTGGCTTCCCTGGTGGCCTCCAGCCCTGCCGACCTAGGAGAGCTGCCTCTGAATTTTCTGGCCTCCTTCGTGGGTCCCTGCCCTGAACAGGAGAGAGAGGAATGGTCTCAGAGGCTGTGCAGGTATGTCAGTGACAGTGACAACAGGTGGCCAGGACAGGGTGCAAAGGCCCATGGGATCCGGCCTCCAGTGTTTTAGTGCTTAGTGGGGTTTTCAGGGGTGTAGCCAAGGTGGGGCTATTGTCAGGGAAGGAAGGGTGGACCTAAAAATAATGAAAACTAAAGCAAGAGGAAAAGGGAAGTGAGACGCAAGAGGGCCAGAGTGCTTCCAATAATGTGGGAAGCACAGGGTGGGAACAGGCAGGGGCACCTCCAAGGATCCATTCTCTCCCGGTGGGTGCCAGCAGGGCTGGGTGAGCTGCACTAGCTCCAGGGAAAGGACCAGTGGCTCCATCACGGGTTTCTGCCTGGCCGGCCGGTGTGGACAGGGGTGGGGGTGGGGGTTGATCCATGGTGTGCTCAGGTCTGGAGGCAGAGTTTGACAGTGTGGCCAGTCCTGCCCCAGAGTCCTGATCAAGCTAGTGCCCAAGCCCCCGGGCTCCTTCAGGTCCAGCCGCTGAGGGTGGGTTTTGGCCAGCAGACCCAGGACAGCCTGCACCTTACAGTCCCACTTCCTCTTGCCTCGGCTTTAGTGCCTTCAGGACTCCACTGAGGAGTGGAGCTCTGAGCCACACCCCTGCGCCCTTGACGAGGGACTGCCTCCCTTCCTCCCCTGCCCTCTGCCCCAACCCTGAAGGATCCTGTGCAGCCTGCAGGTGGATAGAAGGGCAGGAGTCCCGGAGAAAGGCAAGGGCCAGAGACCAGGCCTCTGCCCAGCTCCAAGCCACTCCCCGCCCCTCCTGACCCCGGAGCCACTGGAGGCAGGGGACCCAGAGAAGGCTGAAGCTCCAAGCAGCTGGGAAGTGAGGACACTTCAGCCGGTAGCATATCAGGCCCCCCAAAAGTAGTCATCCCCACTGCCTGCCTCCTGGCAGAGCCCAGTCCTCCTCAAGTGCAGGACCCTCAGCAGAACTAGATGGGCCAGGCTGGGGTGCTCCTTGGCACCACGCAGACTCTGGGCCTCAGAGATTCTAAAGCATCTGGAAGTTCCTGATGGAATTTCCTGGGCCCCTTCAGGGAGCCCAGAACCAGGTATTAAAGGGAAGAGGGTGACGGGAAAGCCAGGGCTGTGAGCATGGGGGCGTGGGCACAGCCTGGCTCTGCAGAGACCGTGCTGTGCTGGGCTGTCCACCCGGCCAAGGTGGTTGTCTGGGCCTCCGAGGCTGCAGACAGGAGCCAAGGAGTCTCGTGCAGCTGAGCCCTCCCTGCCCTGCCTGCCCCACCCAAGGGCCGTGTCTCGGAGTGGGCCCACCCCCTCCTGCCCCGCCCCCTCGCTGTGTTAACTGCACCTGTTGCCGATGGATTCCAGAACGCAGAGGAGAACTCCCGCATCTCCATCACCTTCTTCCGCCTGTTCCGGGTCATGCGCCTGGTCAAGCTGCTGAGCCGCGGGGAGGGCATCCGGACGCTGCTGTGGACCTTCATCAAGTCCTTCCAGGTAGCTGTGCCGCCTGCCCACGCCCGGCCTGCCTGCCGGGGGCCCGCTCTCAGCAACGGCCCCGGGAGCAGAGAGCTGCAGGCCCTGGACCATCCTCACGGCGCCACTCATAGCCACATGGCAACACCTTGCTTTCTGCAGTAAGGGGCCCAGAGTAGCTCTGGGATTTTCAAAAGCAGGCTCCTGGAGCCCTCAGATCCACCCCCACCTAACCCAGAGTCAGTGTCTTTCTTTGTAGTTATTTTCTGGACAAAGGGGTTTGTGGCATGAAACAAATTTGAAGAACAGAGGCCCATATCATCTGCTAAGCTCCCTGGTCCCCTCCAACTCTGGCATTTTTCCAATCTGGCCGTCACCTTCCTCCCAATGGGCATTTCTGCTGCCTGCTCCTGCGTCTCTGACTACCCAGGTTCTCACCATCCTGTTGTCACCCAACTTGGGGAGAGTGGTCCCTGCGTATGGGCACAGGATTGCCTAACTGCATGGTTCATTCCCTTTGCTCAGTCCTCATTTTCCATCTGTAAAAACAGAATAATGATCGCTCCTGGCCAGCTCGAAGGAGAGTTATGTAAGTCTGAAGTTAAAGAGAAGCAAAGCTGTTAGGTCACTTGAATTCCTGGAAGATGAGTGTACAAACCTCTAAATCTGGCTCCTTGCCTCCCTGGCTTGGTGCCACAGGAGGGTTTCTCTCCATCCAGGGACATGCCGCTCAGGCTTTCCAAGCAGTGGCGGACTGACCAGCAGTGTCCTCTGCTCTGGCAGGCAGGCCTGGGGGTGGTGCTGGTGCGGTGGATGCAGCCAGGGGGCAGGTGCTCTGCCACCAGGTGCCTGCCTGCTTTGGAGGCCCTCCCCAGAGCCCTCTAGGCACCAGCAGTCAAAGCCCTCAGCCAGGCCACACCCCTTACAGCCAGACCCCCTCCAGGCGTGCTGTCAGACCCTCCAAGATAATCAGCCAGTAGCTCCCCAGCCCAGTGCCTCTAGAGGCTGACAGCTGTGAGTGGCTAAACAGCATCTCCCCACCCCCAGTATTTCCCTGGGCTGGGAAGAGGCAGTAGATAGGGGGTGGCCAAAAGGAAGCGACTAGAATGTGGAGTAGGAATGTCAATGAGACAAGAAAGCATCGTGTGGGCTCACAGTGCCACCTAGTGGTCCTGGGCAGCTGGCTAAGCAAGGGGCTTGAGTTGGATGCTCACACATAAAGGGTACTGAGGCGCCCTACACCTCTCTCCAGAAGTGGCGGGGAGACGAAATCGTCTGAGCTACTGGGCAGATCATATGTTGAGTTGAAGAAATGTGTGGAACCCCCACTCTGTGCAAGACATTGCACCACACGCTTCATATGCTTTATTTTTTTAAAGATTTATTTTATTTATTTGAAAGAGTTATAGAGAGAGGTAGAGCCAGAGAGAGAGGTCTTCCATTCTCCTGGTTCACTCCCCAAATGACTTCAATAGCCAGGGCTGAGCTGATCCGAAGCCAGGAGCCAGGAGCTTCTTCTGGGTCTCCTACATGGGTGCATGAGCCAAAGGACCTGGGCCATCTTCTACTGCTTTCCCAGGCCATAACAGAGAGCTGGATAGGAAGTGGAGCTGCCGGGACACGAACCTGCGTCCATATGGGATGCCGGTGCTGCAGGCTGGCACTTTAACCCACAGCGCCACAGCACCGGCCCCTTCATATGCTTTAAAGCATATGGAGGAAAAATTACACACCACACAACTCCTGAGAGGTAATTATTGCTATTCCCATTCTTCAGATGAGGAAACTGAGGCTGAGAGAGGTTAAGCAACAGGCACAAGCTACAGAGTGGCAGAAAAAGTTGGCGTCAAGATCTTCCTTCACACTTATTCGTTATTCCGTGTTCTTACTACAATAGTAATACCTGTTCACCACAACTGGTGGAGCAACAGTAAGCCACTCCCTGTGTCCCCACCGTGAGCAGTGTTCAGCCCCCACCGCTTTCTCCTTGCTGTACGTCCATCGGGTCGGAGGCAGCCTTGCTCATCTCCGTTGGTTTACTATGGTGGGATCACGCCGTATCTGTCACTCTGCGCCTCCTTTTCCTGGCCCACCACACTGCTGCTCAGCGGGTTAAATCTGAGCTGAAGTGAGAAGTCAGTGCCCATTCCCAAGGCCTCCTCCCAGTGCCCGTACGTGGGTGCCATGCTGGCCGCAGGCAGCGGCTGCTGGCTGCAGAGATGGGCGCGGTGCTGCTGAGCAGGGACCCGGCCGGCCTCCCGTGCCGCCTCACCACGGTCACGTCTGCTTCCTTCCAGGCCCTGCCCTATGTGGCTCTTCTGATCGTAATGCTGTTCTTCATCTATGCTGTGATCGGGATGCAGGTAGGCAGGGCCACCCGCTGCTGGCCCCAGGGCCGCCTCCTTGTCTTCCAGTTTCCGGCACCACCTCCCTGCCCTTCCTCCTCTGCCCCTCACTCTTGCTGGCTGAGTTCCCCAAGATGGGTCTCCTCTAGGTAGAGGGGTGGCTGGTCAGTTATGGGCTATGTGCAGAGAGCTTCCTTCCCATGGCCCCAGGCCTGGGTTCTGCCCTTGGTACAGGAAATTACTCCTGAATTAGACCCAGCCTTTTCTCAAGAAACAGCGGGAAGGGTGTGCCTGACCAGATGCCCTACTCTGGCCAGGTCTGGTGGCCCTGAGGGTGACTGCCTACCAGTGCTGCTCAGTGCAGGCCGGCGACTGGGAGGGCCAGAAGGCAGGCCTGTCCCACCAAATGTGTTGCAGTTTTTTGGGGGTCTTCCCTTCTTCCCTCGCAGACTCCCCTTGCACCTTCTCCTGCCCCACACCCAGAGCTCCCAGCCTCTCTCCAGGTCTCTGGCTGGGTCCCCAAGGTCAGACACAGGAGGACCTCCCTCTGCCCACCCCCACAGCTTTGAGCTTTCCCTCCATAGCTCCTTCTGCGTGCTCAGTGCAGAAGGACCCAAGGGCTCATGGGCCAACGCCTTTTGAGATCACCCTGATACCTGACAAAGAGTGGCTGTTTCTAAGGTGAGTGTCGCTTTCACAAAAAGATCAGGGAGAGAGGAGACCTTGGGTTTCAGAAATGAAATGAGGTTGCCTAAGCCCTGGATCACACATTCTGTATCACCCCAAAGCCAAGAGCTCAAGCTGGAAGAGTACATGGACATACCGAGCTGACACAGCAGAGGGCAGAAGGCAGTGAACCCCAGGAGCTGCCCAGAAGGAGGGTCCCCTTCTAAGCAGCCCCAGCTCACCTTGGGGTGCAGGGACCTTTCCTGAGGGTCAAAGACACTGCTCCTCTTTCCCTTGTGCAGGGGAAGGAATTGGGATCAGAGTCTGGGTGGGCAGCAGATGCCTACCAGGTTGCAGCGTGAGATCGTTTGCCTTGTATGTCAGCCAGTCCCAGAGACACCTGTATCCCCCAAAGAAACCACTGACCGGACCCACAGTTGGATGTTAGGACCCTCCGTCTGGCCGCAGGTCACCCAGTACCTCTTCCTTCCCCCCATCAGGTGTTTGGGAAAATCGCCCTGAACGACACCACGGAGATCAACCGGAACAACAACTTCCAGACCTTCCCCCAAGCTGTGCTGCTCCTCTTCAGGTGGGTCTCCAGGACACATGCACACACTCACACTTGCATGATGCAGCCTGGGCGGAGAAGCAGGGCGCCGTCTCCCCGTTTGCAAGCCTCCCCTCTGTTATTCGACGTGACTTTCCCTCTGTGACATACCTGCTGGCCACCACTGAAACCCCTTTGGAGACCAAAAAGTCAAACCCTAAAAACACACTGGCTGGGAATCTGTATGGGCTCAAGGCCAGGCCTGCCACACACTGGCTTTCTGACCTTCAGCAAGATACGGAATCTCTGGTCTCAGTTTCCTTGCTAGATAAACACGGAGGTAGAGCCATTGGCCAGTGCCTGCCGGTTGCTGTGCGCTGAGTTTTATCTCCACGTGAGCCAGCCTCAGGTTGTGCCGTCCACCCCAGGTCTGTCCCCGAGGAACCCAGATGCAGAAATCCTCAGCAGAATGCCATCACCTTAGAAGGCTCGTTTATCACAGACAAGCAGCGTCTGAACTTGGGGTGCAAGGATGGTTCCACACACACAGATCAGTAAAGGTGATGGCAGCACAGTAAGACTGAAGGGCAGAAGCCATGTGAGCATCTCATAGGCGCAGAAAAGCATTTGATGAAATTCAGCATCTTTTCATGATAAAAGCCCTTGGCAACTGAGGCAGAGGAGGAATGCTCTTCAGCACAATAAAAGCCACCCGTGGCCAACCCAGAGCAGACAGCAGACCCAGCGGAGAGTTCAAAGGTTTTCTTAGAAGATCAGGAGCTGTATAAGCATGGCCATTCTCACTGTTTTTTCTTTTTTAAGATTTGTTTATTTATTTGAAAGAGTTAGAGAGAGAGCGAGAGTGAGAGTGAGAGAGATCTTCCATCTGCTAGTTCACTCCCCAAATAGCTTCAACGTCCTGAGCTGGGCCAGTCCAAAGCCAGAAGCTTCTTCCAGATCTCTCACATGGATGCAGGGGCCCAAGCACTTGGGTGCATTAGCAGGGAGCTGGGTTGGAAGCAGAGCGGTAGAGACTCCAACTGGCACCCATATGGGATGTTGGCGCTGCAGGTGGCAGCTTTACCAGGTACATCACAATGCCAGCCCCCATTCTCACTTACTGTTTCTATGCAACACAGGACTGGAAGTTCTAGTCAGAGCAATTAGACAAGTAAAAGAAATAAAAGGCCTCCAAACAGGGAAGGAGGAAGAGAAATTACCTCTGCAGTTCTATGGTTTTATATGTAGAAAACTTTAAGACTCCATTAAGACATAGGTAGAACTGACACATGAATTCAGTAAAGTTATAGGATACAAAATCAACACAAAAAATAGTAACATTTATTTACACTAACAAGGAACAATCTGGAAAAGAAATTAAAATTAATATCATTCACAGTAACATAAAAATACTTAGAAGTAAGCTTAGCCAAGAAGGTGAAATATCCATATACAGAAAACTATAAAACATTAATGAAAGAAATGTTGACAACACAAAGAAATAGAGAAGTATGCCATGTTTATGGATTGAAGAGTTAATATTGTTAAAGTGTCCATACTACCCAAAGTTTTCTGCAGATTTGGTGGAATTCCTATCAAAATTCCAGTGGCATCTTTCACTGAAATAGAAAGGGAATACTAAAATTCATATGGAACCACATAAGACCCCCAAATAGTTAAAACAATCATGAGAAAGAAAAGAAAATTGGAAGTATGATGCTACCCTCAAAATTAGTAACCAAAATGGCATGGTCACTACATAAAAACAGACACAACTGACGTAACATATTAGATTCCAGAAACAAACCCATGCATTTCATCCACTGAGGTTCAACGAAGGAACAAAGAACACACATGGGAGCAGGAGTTTGGCACAGTGGTTGAAACACCGTTGGGATGTACAGCAGCCCACATCACAGTGTCCAGACTGAGTTCTCATTCCAGCCTCCCGTTAACATACATCCTGGGAAGCAGCAAGTGAGGACCCAAGTGTTTGTGTCCCTGCCACCCTGTGGGAGACCTGGTTTGACTTCCTGGCTTCTCGCTTCAGCCTGTCCCAGCCCTGGCTACCACAGGCATTTTGGGAGTGAATCAGCAGATGGGAGCCACCCCAATTAATAAAATTAAATATAGTTTCTGTTTAAAAAAAATAGAGAGAAAATGAGGGAGGGAGGGAAAGAGAGTGGAAGGGAGGCAGCAGGCAGGCGGGCAGACAGGCGGGTGGGCTGGTGCTGTGGAGTAGCCGGTAAAACCATTGCCTGCAGAGCCAGCATCCCATATGGGCGCCGATTCGAGCCTCAGCTGCTCCACTTCCAATCCAGCTCTCTCCTATGGCCTGGAATAGCAGTAGAAGATGGCCCAAGTCCTTGGGCCCCTGCACTCGCATGGGAGACCTGGAAGAAGCTCCTGGCTTCGGATTGGTGCAGCTTCAGCTGTTGCTGCCAACTGGGAAATGAACCAGCAGATGGAAGACCTCTCTCTCTCTCTCTGCCTCTCCTTCTCTCTCTGTGTAACTCTGACTTTCAAATAAATAAATAAATATTTTTTTTTAAAAAAGAAGAATATGCAATGGAGAGAAGACAGTCTCTTCTATAATGGTGCTGCCAAAAAAGAAAAAAAATTCTCTCAAAAGAATCAATTAACCTCAGACTTCAAAATTATGAGGAAAATGTATTTTTGAACCTAGACTCCTACATAGAATCTAATCAGCATTCAGAAACATAAGAACCAAGAAAGTTATTCCCTCATAAAACCCTTCCCTAAGCAGTTACACAACAGTACTCTTCCATGAAATGAAAAGTGAGTCTAAGAAATAGAGTATGAAGATTAATAGCACAGGTAAAGATATGATAAAGTTTATGGTTATGAGTTGTATGAAGTGTAAATAATTGTTCAGAGAAAATATCCACAACTTCAGTCACAATTTGGCAGCATAATCCCCTATTATGCCGGCAAATAGGGAGTGAGAAGGTAGATGAATGAGAAGCATGAAACTGTAATAAGATTCTTCTCTTCTTTGGGGAGAAGAAATTGATACTATAATTCTATATGTAACTCTTTAAAACAGATTTTTGTTTCATTAATTTGAAAGAGTGATAGAGAGAGGGGGTTCTCCAGAGGAAGATATCTTTGATCTGCTGCTTCACTCCACAGATGGTCCCAAGGCCAGGAACTGGGAGCTCCATCCAAAGTGTGTATAAATAGAGCCGGCGCCGTGGCTCAATAGGCTAATCCTCCACCTTGCGGCGCCGGCACACCGGGTTCTAGTCCCGGTTGGGGCGCCGGATTCTGTCCCGGTTGCCCCTCTTCCAGGCCAGCTCTCTGCTATGGCCAGGGAGTGCAGTGGAGGATGGCCCAAGTGCTTGGGCCCTGCACCCCATGGGAGACCAGGAAAAGCACCTGGCTCCTGCCAGGATCAGCGCGGTGCGCCGGCTGTAGCGGCGGCCATTGGAGGGTGAACCAACGGCAAAGGAAGACCTTTCTCTCTCTGTCTCTCTCTCTCACTGTCCACTCTGCCTGTCAAAAAAAAAAAAAAAAAAAAAAAAAAAAAAAAAAAAAGTGTGTATAAATATATATGTTAAATACTTGAAATTCAGGCCATGTGTTTGTCACTGAGGTTAAGATGCACTTGGAAGGCCTGCCTCACATATGAGAAGGCCTGGGATCCAGGCCTGGCTCTGCTTTCCATTCCAGCTTTGGCTCTTGTGCACCGTGGGAGGCAGCAGCAATGGATCAAGTGCTTGGGTCCCCGCCACTGTGTGGGAGATCTGGGTTGAGTTCCCAGCCTCTGTCTTCCATCGGGCCTGACCCTGGTTATTATGGGAATCTGGGGAGTGGATCATTGAATGGGAGCTCTCTGAGGTCTCTGTCTCTCACTTTGCCCTTTAAACGCAATGAAAAGCTACATTTAAAAACATTTAAGTATATTTAAATATCAACCACTAGAAAACAGGGAATGCAATATATATATTCCAAACCACTGGTGGGGGGTTGGGGAGTGGACAAAAAAAACTTGGGCAATTCATCAAAGGAAGGAAATAGAATGTGGAATTTAGAACAGTGTGGTAAGATGGCAGCAATAGGAGCAAAGATAGTCACAGTCACTAAAAAAAAAATGACAAATTTCTCTGTTAAAACATAGTCTATGTTGGATTTAAGAAATGTAACCCTAGCCTATTTATTATAATAGATACAGTAATTTAAGATGCCCTAAAGGGAATGAAAATAAAAGGATGGGGAAGGAATACCAGATGGTGCTTACACTATAGATGTAGTAGTAGCAGTATCAGAATAAAGAGAACTCCAAGCAAAACACATCAAACAAGATGAAGAGGTATAAGAAAAACGAGAATTTAGAATTGTCATAAAACTGACTGAGCCCAACTATGTAATTTGGAAATGAATCAGACTTTGATAGAACCATAAGGAAAAAATACACACATGTGCATAAGCACACAGTGGAAGATTTAATATACTTCATAAAAAATAACAGATCATGGGGCTGGCATTGTGGCACAGTGGGTTAAGCCACCACCTGCGATGCTAGCATCACATATGAGTGCCAGTTCGAATCCTGGGTGCTCTGCTTCCTGTCCTGCTCCCTGTAAAATGTGCCTGGGAAAGCAGCAGAAGATAGCCCAAGTACTTTGGCCTTTGCCACCTACCTTTGAGACTTGGATGGAGTTCCAGGCTCTTGGCTTTGACCTGCCTCAGCCCTGGCCATTGCGGGAGTGAACCAGTGAATGGAAGCTTGCTTTCTCTCTCTCTCCCTCCCTCTGCCCCCCACCATATAACTCTACCTTTCAAATAAATAAATAAGTCTTTAAAAAACCAGATCAAATGGCAAAAAAAATCCACATACCTTTTGAGCACCCAGAAATATTCATAAAAATTAGACCAAATTTAGGTCATGAGAAGAATTTGATAAATTCTAACAATTCTGACTTCAATATAAGTAAATCGGAAATTAACCATAAAACAATAGCCCCTCCAAATCATCCCCTTAAAATACTTCTTATTCTAAGTGTATCAAAGCTGAAACT